CCGGGTCATCTGAGCGGCACAGCCAATGGGGTGGCTGGGTGGCCCCGGGGATGGCCAGGCCCGCCAGCCAATCAGACACCCGTACCCGCCCCGCCTGCCCCGGGAATGGCCAGGGCCGGGAGCCCGGTGCCCAAGTCGCCCTCGGGGTGGCAGTTCCCGTTAACCTTAGCCACAAAGTCAAAGGTATTTATTTCCCCGTCGCCTCCCTCCGAGTCCCTCTGCATTTCGGGCGGGGAGGGGCGGTGCGAGGGATGGACCAGCGCCCGGCCCCGCTCCTCCTGTGCTGCCTCCGCCCGGCTCGGGCTGGGGCGGAGTGATGGGGCGGGGACCTGGGGTGCCCCGAGCCCCGCGCGTCCTCCGAGCCCGCGCGTCCCCCGAGCCCCGGGTCTCAAGCGTTTCCCCTGCCCCCACACAGCCGAGGGGAAAGGGGCGCGGCCGAGGGTGGGGAGGGCCCCAGGCCAGGGCAGCGAGGTCGGGAGGGAGGCTAGTGAGGACGGAGGGAGGACGCGGTGGCGAGTAGAGGGGTCGCCCGCGGGCGGCCCCTCCTGGGCTGTCCCGTTGTTCCGAGTTCCCGGTTCCTGTCCGTCTCCCTGATAGATCAGCTTCTGGGGGCGGGAACCCCAGCGCTCGCTGCAGAGTGACAGACACATAGTAGGTTCTCAATAAATGTGTGATTAAACGAGCGGGGATAAGGATTGGGGTGGAGATAAGTGAGAGGGAAGCACCGCAGAAGTTGGAAGGGTGTGGTGTCGGGTGTGGCGGAGAACTCCTCTCCAGGAAGATGGGCACAGCAGCCGCGAATTCGGTGGGGTGGGTGCGGGCATCCCCTCTGTGAAGAACGTTGAGGATATCTATCTACATGTGGAAGGTGTGGAGATGGGGCCTCCTTCAGCCTTTTGAGCAAGATGATCTGAACTGGGGCTGGGTGTGGTCAGAGCCCCAGGGGCTGGAGGCCGACGACAGTCCAAGGCTTCACAGCCAACTGTTCCCATGTTCATCTGTAAAATGAAGAGATTAGATGGCGGTTGTCTCCTTTCAGGCTGAAGGTTTCATGCTTCCTTGCTTCAAATCTGTTTTGTACTGAAATTTCTTTAAGTGTTCCCTTGTGACAGTTTTTATTAATGGATTACTGTGTGTGGGGCCTGTACTGGGTGCAGGGGAGAGAGAAGGACCCTGTGTTAAGATGCATGTAGTCTTGTGCAGACTAACAAAATATTGATGACGATGATGATTCCATGTAGATGGTCCTGGGTGCACAGGTTAAACAGAGAAGGGGCTCCTGGCTGAGCCTGGTGTGTCCAAAAAGGCTTCCTGGTCAAAGCGATCCCTAATCTGGACTGGGAAGGGGAGAATTGAGCAAGGGCCTTCCAACGTTGGTCACAGGGTGCGAGGACATGGTGAGTTCAAGAGCCACGAGAGCATGGGGCATGTCGGGGTGCAATGGGGAAAGATGAGCAGAGTTGAATTCTCAGTTCCCCCTTATCTGAGGTGTGTGTGCCAGCAAGTCCGTTTGGTGGGGATCTGGGTTTCTGAAAAACAACTCAAGGACATACTCTAAGATGTTACCTTTAGTTTGTATAGGCAACCACACGTCTCGTGTGGTCGAACTTCCTTGCTGTTGTTTTAGCTACAATTACCTTATCAGGTTGCACATTTACTTCTCAGGACCAGCTAGGTGCCTGGAATTTCCCTGGAAAGAACTCAAGATTTTCCTTTATTTTCATGATTGGAGGGCGCAGCAGGTGCCTGAAGGGGTCCCTGCTCCATCTCACTTTCGTTTTCCAAGGTCCTTTGGATGCAGCAAGGGATGGAAACGTGTGTATTAATTAAAATGTGACACCTGTTCAGAGACTGTTAGCAGCTGGGTTTGTCCTCGACCTTCAGCTCAGATCCAGGCCCTGACAGGTTCCTGAGTATTAGACTTGGGGCGGAGGAATGTTAAGTGCGGCTCTCGCCTCTGAAGGGAGGTGGCTGAGGAGGAGGGGGCAGGGCTGTGGGGCAGGGGAGGTGTGGGTGGGACAGTTCCAGCAAGGGTGTTTACCTCTGGCCGGTGAAGGAAGTCTTGGAAGGAGGTACCTCAGGATCATGGCTGGGGTTGAATTGGGGACCTCTGGGAGGTGGGCAGGCAGAGTGGATAAGGCAAGTGACCTGGCTGCATGCAGATCAGGTCTCCTGGGAATGTTGACAGGAGCAAACTAAAGCCATGAAACCTGGCTGGCTGTTCATACCCTGAGGTACAGTTCTTATAACCCTGAATGGGGAGCGGGTGATGGCAACAGCAATGACCTAAATCGAATTTGTCTTGCACCTTGGGAATGTCTCTGAGAGTCCTCTCACACTGTTCGCATCCCGCCGTCCCTCCCCCCACCGCCCCTGCCCCACTCAATATAACAATTCTATACCACGAGCAAGTGTTATTTCCATTTTTAGGTGGGGAAACTGAGGCCCAGAGAAGGAAAGTGGTTTGCCTGGGATCACGTGGCTAACCAGAAGCAAACCCAATCTCAGTCCCTGTCTGGAGCTTTTCAATGGCCTTTTCCACTATGGCCTGCTCTTTGGGTGGGATGGCGGCCTGCCCTTTCCCCTGGCTCCCCTCCTCTGTTCCCTCCCCAGATTGAGGACTGGGGTGTTGGAGAGACTGAGGTCTGGAGATGGTGGAGTAGAAAGAGGGGAAGGGTCAGGGTTGGGAGAGTGGTCACAGTGGGGGTGGCCTTGTGCTGAGTGGGATCCGGGAAGTTGGACAGGAGCAGGGTGGGTCATGGTGGGTGGGACAGGGGAGTTGTGGTGGGAGGCTGATGCTGGATGTGGGGATGGAGGCCTCCAGGTGGGGGAGGGGATGCCCACCTGGTTTGGGCTGGGACCTCTGGGAGGGGCATGCAGAACTGCCCTGGTAAGTGGAGGGCTTTACAGACAGTGCCACAATCACAGCCGTGGCAAACCCTCTTCCTCCTGCGGGGTGGAGTGTGGAGGCTCCTGTGTGGCGCTGGGGGCCTCTGAGATTCCCAAGTGGCTGGAAGGAGTAATGGCTTAGGAAGAGTGAGCAGCAGCGGGGGCAGTGGCAGAGAGGCTTGTACAGACACTGCCCGGTGCATCCAGCTCAGGCTTGCTGCCCTGTGGTACTCCTCCCAAACTCAGAGAGCAGGTATTTCCATTCACCCATGCCATCAGGAACCTGAGCTCAAAGCCCTACAATGACTGGCCAGGGACTAGCAGCGGCTCAGTGATGGGTGGGCTGGGACTTGGGACTCCTGACTAAGACATGGGGTCCTGAGGGGAGAAACCAGGAAGGGTGGCCTTGAGAAGGCCATCCCTGCCAGCCTCAGGCAGTGGGCTTCGAGGGGGAGACTAGGCCTGAGGAGCCAGCCAGGTGGCGGCTCAGGTCACCCAAAGCTGACTGAAGGGGAGAGGACCCGTTGCATCGCCTTGGGCCAGAGCCCACAGGCCAGGCCCTGGAGGATCTCAGGCTGCACCAGGCTTGCTGGACACAGGCTCATTGTCTCTAGGGCTTTCTGTCTTGCTGTAACGCCTCTCCAGCCAGCTGCAGCTCCTGCTGACCTATCCCACCCGGCACAGGTCATCCAATGGTGACTCGCGGCCTAGCCTCCTGGCTCGATGAGGGTATGTTGCTTCTGTTTCTACCTCTCTGAGTTCTTTCCCTTGGAGCAAGTGGGCGTGATAGGATGGCCATGGGTGTACAAGGATGCTTGTGTCATGGGTGACTTTGCATTTCTGTGTTTGTAGGTGTGCTGTGCAATGATTGGTGCTGACCTGGTTCACAGGGGCATATTTGTGTGTCTGTGGATCTGTAGGTGTGTCTGTGACTTTAAAAAAATATCTCACATTCTCTATTTGCATAGACAGTTTTGCAGGTGTTCTCATGTAGTTTTGTGTCTTTGAACTTTTGTTTACTTAGCTGTATTTAGATATGATTGTATCTGGGTATGTTTGTGTGTGGTTTACATCAGTTTCTCATGTCCCTATGGTCATATATTTAAATTAAAACCATCTGCTGTTAACTGAAATCAGGCAGAGAATACCATTGCCTGGTCCTGAGGGATTTCTTGATAGTGACAGAAGACTGGAGCCTGAGGAGCCACCTCTGGAGTCCTCCATTGTTTCATTCACTCATTCTTACATTCATTGAATACACATTACACACCTTCTACATGTGAGGGGATGTGCAGGCATGGGAGCAAGCCCCCGTTCCCTGGGGCTGACTTGAGTGAGGGGGTCTCACAGGGAGAGAGAACTAGGTGAGGACATAGCAGGAATGGGCTGGGGGAGAGGGCAGGGAGGCTCTGGGGACCAGGTGGAGTTGGGAAGGACGAGGCCGTAGAAGGGGGCAGCATGGGCAGGGAGCCATTGGCTGGGCATGGGCTGGGACTGGGGAGGCCAGTTTCTGTGGAGGTCTCCTACAGAAGACCAGCTGAACAGTGCCCAGCAAGTGAGGACCTGCTGGGACCTCAGGGCTGAGAAGGGCCTGATACTGGGCCTTTGGCTGGGGTTTGGGGAGCTGCCCCCACCCACCAAAGCCTTAGCGCCTGGTGGTGGATCCTGCTCCCGCTCCACTGGCAGCAGATGATACCTGCGGCATGGTCTGCTTCTGACTGCCTGACCTGGGGCGCTGAGGCTGTGAGAGCTGTGCTGGGCTGGTGGGAGGTTCCAGGGGCAGCGATGGGGACGACCTTGCCTCTTTCTGGCCTGTGGCCTTTCTCCTCCCCCAGCTGCTGTCTGGCCTCCCCGCCCCCAAGTCTCTGCCACAACCAAAGCTCCTTTGTTGCCTCCCCCTGCCCCGGGCCTCTCCACCTGCTGCTAGCTCAATCCCCTCTTTGTGTGGTTGGTCCTCAGTTGTCATGGCAGCTGGGCCCAGGCTGAGGCCTGCCCACTGTCGGGCTCTTACTGAACTGCAGCCTGACCCGGTGCAGGGAGGGCCGGGCCAGAGCCAGGTGTGGGAAGGGGGCCCCTGTGTGTCCTGCTCCCCTCAGAGCCCGAGGGGCAGCAGAGAAGACAGGTGGTCCGGTAGGGGTCCAGGGTCCCTTGTGCGATAGACGAAGCGGCCTTCCAAGACTCGGTGTGGGCACTGGTGGCAGATGGCGCGTCTGGCCCTTGACGCCTGTCTTCCAGCCGGGGGTCTCTGCTGGGCAGCCTGCTCACCTGGCTCCTGGGTGTCTCCAGGTGGCCGAGGACGTGTCAGGATGGTGGGTTAGGAGGGGCCCGCCATGCGCAGAGCAGAGCGAAAGGCAGAATAGGAGAGAAGCTTAGGGTGGAGACATGTGGTGTCTGGCCAGCCTAGAATGTGTCACATGGAGCGCTTTCCTGGATTTTGTCTGTAGGACACCTGCTGTGCTGTTTCCCAGACATAGCCCACCTGAGCACACAGGTAGAGGCGGGTCCCCAAAGACTTGGCCTCCCCTCATTCCTGTCTTCTGTTTCCCCCTTGAATTTCTCACTTCTTCCTCTTGGGTCCTCTTCCTTCTGTCTCCACTTCTGTTCTTATGTAAGCCACAAGCTGCTTCCCCTCGAGCCCTGGTATGGCCCGAGGCAGAGGCACTGAGGCTTGAGGCAGCTGCTCTGGGAGGTCCTGGACAGTGGAAGGCCTGCTACTACCCGGAGTGGCTGTTAGGTCCTAATACCTCTTGGGAGGCAGGGTGGGTGAAGGAGGACTGTCTTTGATTTGCCTTGGAGGTCTCACTCTGTGTAGACCCAGGCCCATCCTTCTGTCCTCCTGAATTTCTGGCCTGGGCTCTGCCCTCCTCAGTCTGAGTTCCCCTTACCAAGGTGGCTTCTCTGTCCACTAGCCCCTTTGTGCCTCTTTAGGTGGATGTTAAGTCCATTTGGTGAGAGGTTTCCCAAGATGTGGCATGCAGAAGCTCACAGAGTGGCCCCGAGGGAGGAGGGTGGCATGGGAGGGAGGAGCCCCCAGCACCCATCAGAGCCCCACCAGGGGCCCCTCCAGCCCCCTTCCCCACTGCTCACCTTTTCCCTGCACCACAAGCAGGTTCGAGTGTCGGTAAGAAACCATAGTAGGCATGCTTACAGACCCCTGTAGGGGAAATAGAAGTGAAAACAAAATCGCTTGCAAACCCAGAAAAGCTCTTTGCAAAAGTAGAAGAGAAAAACAGTTTTTAAAAGATTGAATGTGCATGAAACCAGAATGTGGCGCGCACCACAGACAATCCCCTGAGTGACTGCAAAGACGGGAGCTCTCAGCCTGCATATAGCCAGCGCGCGCGGCCCGTTACAGACATGTTCCGAGGTAAACAGCCACCAGCCCTCCAGCAAGAGGACTGGACATTACCATTTGTCACACGCAGGTCATCCTAAATTCACGTGGTAATTGGAGTGACCATCTGTGTTAGCTAATTGCCTTTACCCACAGCAAAAATAAAGTTCTCATATTTTTATGACAGGAGATAGGTTTGTGATTTGGAGCCAGGCGCCTGCTGAAGTTAGGCTCTACCCTCCCATGGAGACTGGGAGGCAGGGGTAGTGTCTTCCTTGATCTTTAAATTTCAAAGAAGTGGCCCCCAGGACCTTGGGAAAGACAGTCCTGGGTTGTAATGTTGGCAGAAGGCTTATTTAGCTTTTTTTTTGAGACAGAGTCTCACTCTGTCACAATCACGGCTCACTGCAACCTCTGCCTCCTGAGTTCAAACAATTTTCCTGACTCAGCTTCCCGAGTAGCTGGGATTACAGGCGTGTGCCACTATGCCCGGCTAAGTTTTATATTTTTAATAGAGACAGGGTTTCCCCACGTTGGCCAGGCTTGTCTCAAACTCCTGACCTCAGGTGATCTACCCACCTCAGCCTCCCAAAGTGCTAGGTTTACAGGCATGAACCACCGCGCCCAGCCTTATTTAACTTTTAAAAAGATTTATTTCTACTTGAGGAGCATTTACTGCAAAAATAAAAAATAAAAAAAAAAATCACATACATCTCAAAAAGACAGAGATAGAGCTTATTAATTAGAAGTTTCTAAACTGCTCTTGAAAAAGGGGGTGTCTCTTCCTCTCTTTGTACGAGGGAAAATGACTTCCTGCATTTTCTAGATTCATATTCACCCCTCCCCCCATGTCTCTTGTCAGGGTCCAGATCCCCAGTCTGGGTGTGTGCTCCCCAGTGTCTGGGCTCTGAAGGGGACCTGGGAGAGGTAGGCTGGGTCTCTGCGAGGCTCTTGGGGCCTGGGTGGGTGTTTCTGTGAGGGTGGCCGAACCAGGGTGCCTGGGAGGAAGGGCTGACTGAAATCTGGAAGAGCCCCTCCCTTGAGGCAGCAGGAAGGATGAGCTGCGCATCTCCGTGGGGCAGCCACGTCTTTGCTCTGCTAGGGGGTACAGGCGCACGGGACCACATCCCTGTCCTTAGGAGAGGCGCGCCCCCAGCGAGGAGGAGATGAGTCTTCAGGCTGCACAGCTCCTGGCCAGGTGGAGCAGCACATTCCTGCCACCTGCGTTTGTTACAGGCCCTCTGTGTGCCCTCTGCTCTGGGCCCTGAGGATCCGGTGGCAAGCATGAAGAGCTCCTGGCCTTGGTGTGGTGGGGAACAGACAAGTTAAGATCACTTCAGGTGGCAAAAATGTTAGAGAGCAAACGGGAAGTGGAGTTAGGCTGGTGACTGTATATAGAAGCGCCAGGGGCCGGCACGGTGGCTCACGCCTGTAATCCCAGCACTTTGGTAGGCCGAGGTGGGTGGATCACAAGGTCAGGAGTTCGAGACCGGCCTGGCCAATATGGTGAAACCCCATCTCTACTAAAAATACAAAAAATTAGCTGGGCGTGGTGGCGGGCGCCTGTCGTCCCAGCTACTTGGGAGGCTGAGGCAGGAGAATGGTGTGAACCTGGGAGGCGGAGCTTGCAGTGAGCCGAGATCTTGCCACTGCACTGCAGCCTGGGAGACAGAGCAAGACTCCATCTCAAAAAAAACAAAACAAAAAAAGGATGAATCCTAGATCAGCGAACTGGGCGTGGGCTTTGCAATGCCCAGTTGACCGTGTGTGTTCTTGTATGGAGACGGCTGGCCCTGAAGCTCCCCAGAGGGGTTTGTGCTAGAACATGGATGAGGACTTTGAAAGAGGGGGCTGGTGACTGAGGAAACATGTAGGGCCGTTCTGCCTTCCAGGTGCATTCCTCGTGGTCAGTTGCAGACATATCTCTAACCTTACTCCAGGCTCCTGCTTCTCAGGTATGGCGTCCATCACACGCTGCCCTGCGGATGTTGAGGGTGTGGGCTCTGGTGTGGGTGTTAGAAGACCTGGGATTTTGTCCAGCTCTGCCGTTCATCACCTCCATGACTCTGGGCACATCAGGGGTCCTTCATGGTCTCAGTTCCCTCTTTCGTAAAATGGGAATTAGGGCTCTTTTACTTTCTCAGCAGGTATGCGTACAATGAAAGAGCCCCTGCCCACGTCGAATGTGGCTATGGATAGAAAAGCTCTTTGGAAAAGAGAGTGCTTTATGGGATGGGAGGGGGGCTGGGTACCCTGAGTTCTGTCCTTGTCCCACAGGCCCATTCTCTTTCTTCTGCTTCTCTTTCTGACAGATGACAGGAAAGGGACACAGCCGGTGTTGATGCTGGGAGGCCTCCAGGGATGGAGGGTGGCCTGGCTGGTGACCGCACAGGTAAGAGAGAATAGAGAGGAGGCAGGGGAGCCAGGGTCTCCTCCGCTGAGGTCGCGTGCCCTTATCTTTTCTGAAGCCAGGCGCAAGCCAACGCCCTCAGCCAGTAGCTAGTACATCCCATTGATGCAGAATTTGAGGGTGGGGACCAGGGCTTGGACAGCCATGTCAAAGAATGGAACAATGACAGAGGCTATGGGAGCTCAAAAAATGACAAAGCCTGGTCCATTAACTTGCCTGGCAAGGGGACACATGTGCACCCATGCCTTGTAGAAATTGAGGTGTTATTTACGTGCTAGAACAGGGATTTGTGGGGTTATACTAATTAGGCATGGAAAGCTGGCAGTCTAGGTAGGACAGTTGGAACAAAGCTGTGGCTCATCAGTCAGGACAGTGTCTTCAGTTCAGTCCATTTATGCTTCCTGGAGGTCACTCAGAGTTCAGGGTCCTTATCGGCTAAGCCGCTTAGAGCTGGTTGTGATGAAATACATGCTGCCAGTGGAAAATTTCCCCGCACAGTCACGTGCTTTTGACTGGAGCCCCTGCCCAGCATCCCTGTGCCTGAGGTGGAGCAGCCCCTGGCGTCTGTGAGTAGCACTTGCAGCCCTTTCTGGCATGCCCGGTCGCATGTGGTGTGTGGCCTGGCTGCAGTGGCGTGTGGCCCGGCTGCAGAAGGGCTCTAGGCCCCTCAGCAGGGTTGAGTCGAGAGCACGCCGGGCACCCTTGGGAGCCCTGCCCTTCGGCACAGTGTGACTCGGGTTTCTTTACCTCCCTCTCCACTCCCGGGGAATTGCCCCATAGACCTCAGGGCCTCTGCCTCATTGCCCCTGTGGGAAGAACCGCCTCCCCTCCCAGGAATATCATGTCAGGAGACCCAAGACTGAGACAAAAATCAGGCAGTGGGGTAAAGGAGAAACGTGGCCGCAAGTGCAAAGCGTGGCAGTGTGGTATGTGGACACAGACCCTCAGGGAGCCTCGCCATGTACCTGTGTGCCTGTCTGAGGAGCCAGGTGCGTGACGGGAGCACCCTAGCTGCATGTGTGTTTTGGAAATTCCAGTGGACCTTAGAGCGCAGCGTGTTATGGAAGGCTCTTTCCCTACACAGACTCATACATGGGATCCTGAGTCACTGTGAGGTTGCTTTGGTTGATGTGAGCTGTGGAGTCAGCCGGGGCCCTCTCTCCTCTCTATGGCAGCTTCTGGGGAACCCTGTGGTTTTAGGGAAGAGTTTGGAAAACACTAGCCTAGACTGCTGGAGACACGGAGGCGTGTGGGGACTGGCCTCTGGCCAGACTGAGGGAACCACTCATTTGGAGGACCCTGTTTTTCAGACAATTGACAGCTTACCCCTTTTAAGCAACTTTTAATTTTTATTTGTGTGTGTGTGTGTTTTATTGTGGCAAAATATGCATGATATTCACCATTGTAACCATTTTTAAGTGTACGGTTCAGTGGCATCAGTACATTCAGTGTTTAGCCTTCACCGCCATCTATTTCCAGAACATTTTCATCACCTGGGAAACTGTACTCATTAAGCAATAATCTGTGCTTTGCACCTTTTAATTTTATCGGAACCATTAAAACCTAAAACATGATTCTTTTCATGATGACTGAGGAGCGGTGCCATTATTTCAGGACTCTCCACGGGCAGGCCAGTGGTCTGCGCTCTTCATATGGATACCTGAACCCTCGGGAGTGTGTCTGGGGCTGCTGGAGCCCCAGCACACTCCACCTCAGCTCCAGGGCCTCCAGGGATGCTGCTGGGCTTAGCACCTCACCCAACCCAGTCATTTACGTCTGCCAGGGGTCCTTTGGCAGGTGGATGTGACGGCACTGTCCTGGCATCCTGGGGCTTTCTGGCCCGCAGTCATCTTTCTGGCTGGAGAGGGCTGAGGGGGAACCGGCCATCAGCCACCTGATGGACACAGCACAACCACCGGTCTCAGATTGGTGTAACTCATCCTGGATCATCCCTGTGTGCATTTGTAGAGACATATGGTTTAATTTTTTATGAATTCAATCAGATGATTCATATGGTTTTTCAACTTGTTTTTTGCTTTCTCTTAAAATGTTTTGAGAATCTTTTCATATTGGCATACATAGTTCTTTTCCATTCTTTTTAGTCGATGCATAGTATTCCATATTATGAAGGGAACTATTTTTTAGGATAATTAAGTTATTTTTCATTGTTTGCTAATTACAAAGAACACTTCAGTGAGTATTCCTGGACATTCCTCTTTACACTCGTATGTCAGTATTTCTTAGGTGAACACGTGGGATGGAATTGCTGGCTGGAAAGGGCCAGAAGGCTCTCCACACTTCTAATTTTAATAAACACTGTCAGATTGTCCTCTACAAATTCTGCCCCAGTTTATGCTCTCAGATTACCTATGTGTATACTAGTTCTTCTGTGTAGTGCCCACGCATATTGTAAAGTAGAGGTATTATTGATTTTTTAAATTTTTGTTGGTATGAGGGGTTGAAAGATGCTACACTTTTAGTTTGCATTTTGTTGATGACTAGTGGGGTTGAACTTCTTTTTTTTTTTTTTTTTTTTGAGACGGAGTCTCGCTCTGTCACCCAGGCTGGATTGCAGTGGCCGGATCTCAGCTCACTGCAAGCTCCGCCTCCCCGGGTTCACGCCATTCTCCTGCCTCAGCCTCCTGAGTAGCTGGGACTACAGGCGCCTGCCACTTTGCCCGGCTAGTTTTTTTTGTATTTTTTTAAGTAGAGACTGGGTTTCACTGTGTTAGCCAGGATGGTCTCGATCTCCTGACCTCGTGATCCACCCGTCTCAGCCTCCCAAAGTGCTGGGATTACAGGCTTGAGCCACCGCGCCCGGCCCAGAACTTCTTTTTATCATGTATAGGAGTCTGTTTTATAGTCTGGATACTAAGCATTTGTTCTATATCTGCACATATTTTTTCCTGGACTTGCACTGTCCAGCACATGGCCTAGCCATATAGAACTCTTCTAGTTTAAGTTTAGGTTTAAATCAACTTAAGTACGGCCAGGCGCGGTGGCTCACGCCTGAAATCCCAGCACTTTGGGAGGCCGAGTTGGGTGGATCACCTGAGGTCAGGAGTTTGAGACCACCCTGGCCAACATGGTGAAACCCCATCTCTACTAAAAATACAAAAATTAGCTGGGCATGGTGGCGGGCGCGTGTAATCCCAGCTACTTGGGAGGCTGAGGCAGGAGAATCGCTTGAACCTCAGAAATAGAGGCTGCAGTGAGCCAAGATCGTGCCATTCACTCTAGCCTGGGTGACTAAGGGAAACTCTGTCTCAAAAATAAATAAATAAATATTAATTAATTAACTTAAATACAATTAAAAATGTCATTTCTTAATTGCACTAGTCACATTTCAAGTGCTCAGTAAACATATGTGGCTTAAGAGCTCAGATGTAAACTGTTTCCACTATTGCAGAAGGTTCTATGGGAAAATGCTGCTCTAAATTCCCATTTCTTTTTTCTTCTTCTTTTTTTTGAGATAGAGTTTTTGCTTTTGTTGCCCAGGCTGGAGTGCGGTGGTGCGATATCATCTCACTGCAACCTCTGCCTCCCTGGTTCAAGTGATTTTCCTGCCTAAGCCTCCTGAGTAGCTGGGATTGCAGGCACGCACCACCACACCCAGCTAATTTTTTTGGATTTTTAGTAGAAACGGGGTTTCACCATGTTGGCCAGGCTGGTCTTGAACTCCTGACCTCAGGTGATTCTCCCGCCTCAGCCTCCCAAATTGTTGGGATTAGTGGCGTGAACCACTGCATCTGGCCAAAATTCCCATTTCTGTCGGACTTATGTTTATGGTATCTTTTGTCATACAGATGTTTTAAATTTAGTTTTTATCTTTTGTATCCTGTTTAAGAAGGCTTTTAATTATCTCTGGATTCTAAGCAAATTCTCCCAATTCTTCTAATACTTCCATTTTCTTTTTTAAGCTGGCACTTAAGTCCATCTGGAACTGCTTTTTATAAACAATCTGCACTGCAAATCTAACTTAAATATTTTCCCCAAAGAGAGGGTTGGTTCTAAGTCAATGAATAGCCTTTTTCCATTGACTTGGAATGTCTCTTGTATCATGTATCAAATGGTTCTGTTCCATTGGCCTATTTATCTATGATGTGTACTGTACATTATTGTAATGATTATATTTAGCATTTTTACTTCTATTTTTTGTGGATGAGAATCTGACTTGCAGCCTTAAGTCACCAAGCCCACCATGGAACAGCCATGCCAGTAACAATAACAACGGTGTCAGTCAAGAGTTGGGTTTTATTTTCTTTTTTTCCCAAATGGATCTCTCTCTCTCTCTCTCTCTCTCTCTGTCGCTCCCTCGCTCGCTCACTCTCTCTCTCTCGCAGTACAGTGGCACGATCAGGGCTCACTGCAGCCTCAGCCTCCTGGACTCAAGCAGTCCTCCCACCTCAGCCTCCAGAGTAGCTGGGACTACAGGTGTGCACCACCACACCCAGCTAATTTAATAAATTTTTTATATAGACAGGTGTTACTATGTTGCCTAGGCTGGTCTTCAACTCCTGCACTTAGGCAATCCTCTTGCCTTAGCCTCCCAAAGTGCTGGGGTTACAGGCAAAAGCCACTGTGTCTAACCTAGACTTTATATTTTAGAGCAGTTTTAGCTTTACAGAAAAATTGTGAAGAAAGTAGAGTTCTCCTATACCTTAGCTCCAGTTTCTCCTATTATTCACATTTTGCATTCGTGTGGTACATTTATTATAAGTGATGAACCAATATAGATACATTTTTATTACCTGAAGTCTATAATTGACAGTAGGGTTCTCTCGATCTTGTACCTTACATGGGTTTTGACAAAGGCATAATGTCCTGTATCACTATTAGAGCATCATACAGAATATTTCACTGCCCTCCAAGTCCCCTGTGCTCTACCTGTTCATCTCTCCCTACCCTCCAACCCCGGGCTGCCACTGGTTTTTCAATTCTCTCTGTAGTTTTGCCCTTTCCAGAATGTCATATATTTGGAGTCATACAGTGTGTAGCCTTTTACGTTGGTGTCTTTCACCTAGAAGTTTGCATGTAGGGTACCTCCATGGCTTTTTTGACTTCATAGCTTATTTCTTTTTATTGTTGACGAATATTCCATCATGCGGAGTTATCCATTCACCCATTGAAGGACATTGTGGTTACTGCCAAGTTCTGGCAGTTAGGAATAAAGCTATAAAAATCCATGTGTAGTTTTTTGTATGGACAGAGGTTTTCAGCTCTTTTGGGTAAATACCTAGGAAAGCGACTGCTGGATTGGATGGTATTTAGCTTTGTAAGAAGCTGCTGAACTGCCTTCCAGAGTGGTGGCAGCACTTCGCATTTCCACCAGGAAGGAACGAGCCCCTGTTGCTGCTCAGCCTCACTGTGTGCACATGCCAGTGATCTGGATTCTAGCCACTCTCATTTATTTTATTTTATTTTTATTTTTTTTGAGACAGAGTTTTGCTCTTGTTGCCCAGGCTGTAGAGCAATGGTGTGATCTCAGCTTGCTGCCGGGTTCAAGTGATTCTCCTGCCTCAGCCTTCTGAGTAGCTGGGATTACAGGTGCCTGCCACCACCCCTGGCTAATTTTTTGTATTTTTAGTAGAGATGGGGTTTCACCATGTTGGCCAGGCTGGTCTTGAATTCCTGACCTCAGGTGATCCACCCACCTCGGCCTCCCAAAGTGCTGGGATTACACACATGAGCCACCGTGCCCAGCCATTCATTCTATTCTATTCAATTCTAGCCATTCATACGTGTAGGGTGGTAGCATTTTTGCTTTTAATGTCATATAAGCCAAAGTCGTCTTTGTTCATTTTTAGGATTTTCTGGGCAATTTGTATAGATGATAAATGTTACAATTTACTTAAATCGGATTACGCTGAATTTAAACATTATTTCAGAGTGAAGAACATCTTAGCTCCTCATCTAAGAATATGATATATTGCTCCTTTCATTTAGTTTTCTTCATCTCTTTAGTAAAGTTTAAAAGTTTTCTTTATATAAGTTTTGCATGTTTATTAGGTATATTCCTAGTTGCTTGTGTTGCCATTTTTTAAAAAGTGATTTTTGTATGGTTTTGTACCAGGCAATCTTGCTGAACTCTTATTTCTATTTCTCAGTGGATTCCCTTGCACATTCCAGGTTGTTAATAATCATAAGCAAATGGCAGTTTCCTCTCCTTTCCAGTGTTGATGCATTTCTCTTTGTTTTCCCCTCTGCCTTGGCTAGTTCCTCAAGGACAGCCAACTGATTTCAGGGATGGTGAGCATTGCATTTTGTTGCTAACTGTAATTGGCTTCTAATCTTTTGCCTTTGGTTATAATGTTTGCTGTAATTTCTAGAGTACATTCTTTGATTCTTTGTCAACTTAGTTTCCTCTATTCTTAGTTTGCTAGGAGCTTTCTTCTCTCTCTCTCTCTCTCTCTCTGTCTGTCTGTCTCTCTCTCCCTCCCTCCATCTCCTCCCCTCCTCCCTCCCTCTCATCTTCCTCCTCCTCTACCTTCTCCCTCCTCCAAACCTTCCCTCCAGAAATAATGTTCAATTTTATCGTATGACTTTTTCACATCTATTGGGAGTTTTTTCACTTTCAATAAGGTAATGTTATAAATTATATTGGGCCATGTTTGCTTTCCTGGGGAAAATCTCAGCAGGGTTAGGGTATGTTATTATTTTAATACCACTGAACTTGCTTTGCTAATGTTTGTGTCTCTGTTCAAAGAATGATAAACCTTTTGCCCACCTCCATTCTTGTCTTGGGTTGATACTGGAGTTATGCTCACCTTGTAGATTTCTCTTTCCCTTTGCTCCTATTCATTGTAGTAGTTTATATAAGGTGTACATGGTCCTTCCCTTGAGGCTTTAGCAGCACCTGTTTATACAGTTACAGAGCCTGTTACCCATTTTTGAGGTAGACTGAGATGTTCTTCTCAGGCTCTTTTAGTCGTTTATGTCATCAGATTTTCCACCTACTCTTGGGTCAGTTTTAATTTACGTTTTCTTGCAAAATCTTCTATTTTATATAGATTTTCAAATTTATTTATATAAAGTCCATATATAGTATTTGGGGATTTTCAGAATCCTTTTTGCAGCTACATGTCCCTTATCTATAATCTGTTTTTATCTTTATTAATGCTGTTCTTCTACCTCCTTTGGGGTTATTTTGTTGTCTTTGTAACATTGACATCTGTTTAAAGATTTTTCTCTTTTCTTTGTTCACAGCTGTTTTATTCCACCTACTTTTTATTACATGTAAACCTTTTTGGAAAGGTGCGTAGATCACAAGCTCTATAAATTCTTATACAGCACACATTCCTCTGTAACTAGCACCCACATCAATGGAGAACATTGCCAGAACCTCAGAGCCCATGCTGCCTTCCACCCACAGTGCCCTCTGTAATAGGGCATTATCCTGACTTCTAACTCTTGGTTTCATTTTGCCGGCTTCTCCTCTTCACATAAATGGAATCACACAGTAAGCATTCTTTAGTGTCTGTGGCAAACGGTTTCCTTATGGCTTCTTATTCTGAGCTAGGAAAACAAACTGCCTCTGTAGACTTGTGTATGGCCCAAGATGTGGGCTGGGAGCAGTGGGTGTGGGACCCTCGAGAGCAAAGTGGATTAGGTTTAGCACAAAGGCAAGGCGACACCTCTTTTGGATGCTGAGGTCTTTCTTTCTGGCCTACTTTCTTGTTCTTGGTTTTGTTGAAGGAAGATGAATTGCCAGACAGCCAAGGTCCCAGCAGGTGAAGTGTTCCCCCACCATGGCTTCTGCCTTGGAGCAGGGGCCCCGCCGGTATAGACGGTGATGCAGTGACCCAGGGTTTGATCTCCCTGACCACTGAGGACTGGGCATGCCTTTGCTTAGAAAGCTTCCAGCACATGGATCCTCTTAGAAAAATAATGGTATGTTTTGCAGCTTGGCCACTTTCTCCTTGCCCCTTGGGTCAGCAGATTTTACTGGATTGGTTTCTTTAACCTTCTCTGCATCTCCTGGGCCTCAGGGTGGAGAAGGTAGAGCAGCCAGCGTCTCAGGGATCCTGTGACCTGGGCACCCGAGTAATTCATTTATGATTCCTTTCTTGTATTTTTCTCCTTCACTCCTTTCTATATCTTAAACCTGCCCTTGTCCTTTCTGCCTTCCTTACTCTTTTTTCTTCTCTTGCCCCTGTTTTCTTCTGTTCGTTTTAAAATCTTTCCCTTCTGCCTTTTCTCGTGCTCTCTTTTCAGCCCTTCTCTGCCTTCCCACACCCCTTCCCTCTTGCTCCTTCTCTCCATCCCACCTAGCGGAGCAGCAGTGACCTTTCTCCCTCCTCTCTCCTGCTTGCCTCTGGCAGGAGCTGGGTTGGTGATGAAGGTCAAGCAGGAGAAGCCGGAGCGGCTGCTGCAGATACTGGCACCGCAGGTCATGCTTGCGGAGAAGGACAAGGAGAACATCTTCCAGCAGCACCCGGGCCTCCCGCCACGCCAGACCATGGGGCGGCCTCGAGCCCTGGGGGGACAGGAGGAGTCTGGGAGTCCAAGGTGGGCCCCTCCCACTGAGCATGATGCGGGGCTGGCAGGCCGGGCTCCCGGGTCAGCCTCCGGTCCCCTGAGCCCCTCGCTTTCCGCCGGCGAGGGTCACTTTGTGTGCCTGGACTGCGGGAAGAGGTTCAGCTGGTGGTCGTCCCTGAAAATCCACCAGCGCACCCACACCGGGGAGAAGCCGTACCTCTGCGGCAAGTGTGGCAAGAGCTTCAGCCAGAAGCCGAACCTGGCGCGCCACCAGCGGCACCACACTGGTGAGCGACCCTTCTGCTGCCCCGAGTGCGCGCGGCGCTTCAGCCAGAAGCAGCACCTGCTGAAGCACCAGAAGACCCACTCCCGGCCCGCCACCCACTCGTGCCCCGAGTGCGAGCGTTGCTTCCG